GCTACAAAACTACTTGATAACACTGTAATTTTATTGGTCACTTAGCTAACACGTGGAATAATCTAGAAAAAAATCTAGAACAACCCGACGGATGATCATTACTATATTAGGTGCGATCTGCAATGACCAAATATGGTATATTCCTAGACTGTACTTGTGTGCCTTTAAAGAAAGTCGATCAATGAATTTATACAAGTTTATTATAGAATTTTTCAAATAATCTAATATCATACATAATCAATAAACGGGTAAATTACCAAATAAAAAAAGAACAATCAAATACTTTGCGTAGAAACCAATTACACGACATATAAATTAAGGTTTCTGAATTTATTCAGATCTACAAAACAGTAAAGCTTATATATAACGGCTTAGTTGTAAATTTCAAAAGTTTATTATAAAGGCAATTAATTGTTTTTTAATTTATAATTCGATATTATTTTTTTGATATTACACGGTTAACAACAAAACTTCAAATCGAAACTATATTATCTGATCATTAAGAAAAAAACTTTTGTTATTGCTCCGAACAAGTCTATTCCTCTAAAACTTGTAGTAATATCCAAAGAATCAGTAGGTTCAAAATGAAAATTTTTGGCATGCACGACATTTATTGATTGGATAAATATTAACACCAAGTAATATTGATATTGAAAATTATTGAAAATGAACAATATGAAATACAATTTAGGCAATTTATTTCTAAAAAGCCTCAACTATAAGATTATGAATTTTACGTAAACAAAGAAGTTCATTAATTAAATCATAAAAAGTCTGAATTATAGGATAAGAAAAAAGAAGGATCACTTATATAAGATAAAACTAAATGCATAATAAGTCACCCATTCTTCAACAAAACCTAAAACAAAAAAACAACCCCACCTTACGTGTAAATCATCTGCATTATCTGTTATCTGCCTAAATCTGCAAATGTTTTTTAGATGTCATTTCCTATCATTATGTGGTAAAGTTCGTGAGTAAATGTGCAAAATTTAAAAGTCCGCTATACAAAAAACATTGTATTTTCGATACAAGGTTTTACGCGTTGCCAATCTCCGTTTATAACTGTTGGACGTTCAGCGGGTTCGTTAGTAACTCTCCCACCACCACGGCCCCCACGGCCACCACGGCCACCACGACCTCTACCCCTACCACCTCTGCCACCTCTACCACCACGACCACCAAATGTATCTTCAATTTCATCGAATGTGACAAAGTGTTTGGCTTGATTTGCGATATGGTGGGCATAATGCACCGGGGTAACATGAGAAATAGATAGGTTGCATCTTATATATATATGTGTGTTTGAAAAAAAAAAATTGTAAATTTGTAAAATAAATTAATTTATATCCAAAATATTGGAAATGTAACATGAAAATATGAACATAAAATTACCTAACGGATAAAAAGCATAGTTTGTAAGTCAATTCATACATCTCATCAGAAGAGAAATTTCCTTCGTTCAGTATCACGTGATAATATGTTGACCTAGCAGTTCCACGCGGGCTAGCGTGAGATTGTAAATCTATGAAATTTGAATTTAAGAGTTACTAAATTTTGGTTCTAGTAGAATCTTAATGTAAAATAATGCTTACAAAAGCTAAAGTATTGAGGCACCACAATGCCGGAATCAACTACAGTTCCTGGAAGGCAATTTCCATTTCCATTAGGGTCAGCATCCTTAGAATCTACAGGCATAAACCTATAATAAAAATCAAATATCATGAGCAACGATAAGGTAAATTCTGACACAAATAATTAATAAAGATACATTACCGAGCATGATGACGTTTTTGCACGATAATGAACGTGAGCTTTGGAGGTGGACTTGATGAGTAAAACTTTCGGAGTGCGCGCTTTAACAATTCAACTTCTTCATTCATGACCTTTTCGAACTGGCCTTCTGCAACACCATCACGATAGAATACAATTTGATCAGGAAGACCACCATTTCTTTTTTTGAATTCCTCAAGTAATTCTATGGCCATTTCATCAAGTGTCTCTATTATTTCATTTTTCAAGGTTTTATTCATACGATAGCGGGAAACATATGTAGTCGTTGTCTGATCCATTGACGCACAAACAGCTGCCACAGATGGACGACCTTTCTTATCCTCTTTACCAGGATGGAATACATCAGCACCAAACACCATATACTAAAAATATAACAAAAAAAATAAATAGATTACGCATCCATATATACGTATGTGCATCATATAAATTTATATTTTTTGGTTGTTCTTTACTCTTTTGTCTGCCTTGAAATTGAGTTCGTTCTTGGCTAATGAGTGATTCTTTCCACCTAATTTTCCATTAATTTTAAGAGCAATATTTCCGCAAATTTGCATCCATTTCGAGGGATTTTTTCCTGTCATGCTTTCAGAAATAATACATTGTGATATGACACCCAATTCAACACCACAAATTTTTTTAATTTGTGGATGTATTCCAGAAGCACCATTTATTTTCTTTTGAATGATACATATAATTAATTGGGGTGGCTTAGTTTTGTTGGAAGCCATTGCATTTTGTGCAGCAATTGTTAACGACTTTTTAATAAAAATAAAATAAAAGTCAATTAAATCAATCCAATAATAATTCAGTAACTTTTATAATAATTTAGTAATTAAAATTCTATATTTACTTTTTTATAATCGCCTTGGGGGTTACCATAGTTGATTAATGGTGTTTTGTTTTGTACATTCTATATAAGTGAAAAATAAATAATATTAACTCAAATGCTAATATGCTAATATATGAGAAAATAAACATAATGATCAAATTATAAATACTTTCCAGGCCTTTTAAAGATAATGCTTCCACCAATCGTTTAATTGCATTTTGGACACGAGACTCAGGCAAAATTTTTGGATCTTCGAATACAACAACAGACCAATTGTATAATTCAGCACCCTAATATAAACCAAAAATTTTTTATTAGAATTAAATTTGTCATTGTTATTAATAAAAATGATTAAATGTACCTTGATAAATCTTTTAGATTCCCAAGAACCTAATTGGGGAACAATTTCCGAGTTTTCGTGTGAAATTAACTTTGGAGCAGGAATTACTCGAGCTAATAAATATGAAAATAAATTAACAACAATAAAATTTAATTAATATACAATATTATAAGATCATAATAACAACTTACACTGTAATTTAACGAATTGAGGTCCAACCTCCATTCCAATTGACCGTAAGGCAGCATCAACCGAATGTTGGTAAATATGATTATTTGCAAAAGTAATTTTATCGAATCTTTCTTTTGGTGGAGTAGCAGTTTGATCGACCATGTCACGTAATTGTGTCTGAGTAAGAGAATCGGTGCTATATTTTTGACCTAATTAAGATGATTAAATAAGAAGATTTTGAATAAAATTATTATTATATATAGAATTGAAAGAAAGAAAGAGTAAAACTAACCAGAAATTACAACACAAATTTCCAAGGGTAAATATATATCGCCAACTCTTGGTTTTTTGGTACGAACACATGGAAGCATTGGGAACTGTAAGTTAATGCCATCCTTCTTACATTGTTGAGTGACAGTAGTTCTATTTCTGCCTTGAGTAACTTCATCAGCAGATTTGTACGTAATAGCTATGACTTTATGTTTTTGCTTCAAGCCATTACTGCCTCGATAGGTAGTTGTTATATTAACGTCTTTGAAAAATCTTGATAGAACGTCAATATCATAACTGGAAAGCCCACGTCGCAAGTCATCTCTTGTTCTTTCTCGATTTTGAATTTTGGGTAGAACCTTAGGAATAATATCAATCATCGGACCATTTGGATAATAGGTGGCAGCGCAAATATCAACATTTATAAGTAGTTGATCTATTTAATGATCGGACACAATAAGGGAAAAGAAGGAAAAAGAAAGAATACTTATTTAGAAATGTAAATAAATATATAAAAATATAAAAATAAATATAAAAATAAATATAAAGATAATAAATAAAATTTCTAACATACTCCATCCAGGACGAATACTTTGCCAGTATCCCAACATGAGTTCAACACCCCCATGTAAGAATCGTCGATTATTTGCCTCTGGTTTTGGAAAGATTGCTTTCCTACCTAGAGTTAAATGTTGAGTACGAACCTTGGAATTGAGGAACGCGTTAAGAATAATTAAGATATTTTGAATAGTTCCATCCCAAGGCTGATCACTATTTTCTTTAATATATTCTCTCATTTCTCTGAGATCAAAAGGACGAGAATATTTAAGAATGGCAGTAAACCATTTTGGACGACCAACGTCATCTTGAGTCGGAATTTGGACCTAAAGAACAATGAAATTCCGATAGAAAGGGGAGTTATAATATGGATCACGAATTAGAAGAAAATCAAAAAATTAAAATTATACCTCAAATTTCTTAGTCTTAGAACCATTACAAAGATCAGTAACAGAATATACTAGATTTCCATCATATGCAGGTGAAGCTCTTTCACCAAATTTTTTTTCTTTGCACATTTGAAGAAAGACAGCTTCTGAATCTTTTTTATTTGCTTGTTGTCTCATTTGATTAGTAACTTCTAAAGAATATGCTTGAACTTGCGGGTATTGGAACTATGTGAATCAGTAAGTATTTATTAGCCTTCCATGAAGAAAGAAAACAGTTTTACACGTATATATTACCTTTGTGATAGGTAGAAAGTTTGCCATTACTTGGACAGGCCTACCTTTAGTAGGCTTCTCTTGAGGCCTTTTCGCGACTGGGATCGTTGACATTTGTAAAGTCTATTCCTTAAAGTAGATAGAATTCTATCAATTTGATCTTAACACGGCCTTTTGCCATTTACAAACTTTATAACATTGTAATATATACCTTTTAATGATGCGATAAAAAAAAAAAAAAATTGTACTATCGTAATAAATTAATTTTGGGTTGCAAAAAGACTCGTAATATAAATAGAAATAGAATGAGGGGAATTTAAAAACGGCTTATAAGCTCTAAGTTAAAAAGAAT